CGATTTTTTGGGGGGCGCCGCCGCCCCCCTTCGGTTTTTGGCTTGGGGGAAAAGGGGGGGTGGGTTGGGGGGGGGGGGGGGGGTGGGTTTTTTTTTGTTTTTGGGGGGGGGGGGGGGGGGGTTCCTCGATGGCGTAGCGCGTCATGTCCTCGGGGTCGATCTCGTGCGGCTCGTACCCGAGCTTGGCGCGGCACACCGCCTACGCACCAACGCACGGACCAATGAACGGACCCGTGCATCGAGCAGCCTGGCGCGGCGCGCCTCGCCTTGAGGCCGTGCGAGCCGGCGGGGAGGTACGAGTCCCGCTTCACCCAGTGGATGCCTGTTCACACCCGCCGGCCGTGAAGAGACGCCGCGCGCCACGGGGAGGCGCGGCGAGTGGTGTCGGTGGGTGCAGTCGATGTGCGTGATCGAGGGCGAGACGAAGTACGCGCCGTTGTCGCCCGCGGAGGTGTCGAAGCCTAGTCACATGCAAGTCAGAGTCCGCTTCTGCCCACCATTAGCCGTCGCCGGGCCGCGGAGGTGTCGGAGCCGATCTCGGCGTTGAGGTCAATGGCGTGCACCTCGCAGCGCTTCTTGACGTACGGGAAATCGAAGTTGTCGCCTGCGCTCGGGTGAGCTCGGGTGAGCTCGGGTGAGCTCGGGTGAGCTCGGGTGAGCTCGGGTGAGCTCGGGTGAGCTCGGGTGAGCTCGGGTGAGCTCGGGCGATATGGGGAGATAGGGGGAGATGTGGGGAGATAGGGGGAGATAGGGGGAGATGTGGGAGATATGGGGAAGATAGGGGGAGATAGGGGGAGATAGGGGTAGATAGGGGTAGATATGGGGAGAAGGGGGAGATATGGGGAAGATAGGGGGAGATAGGGGGAGATCTGGGGAGATCTGGGGAGTCGGAGCCGTTGTACGTGACGACGATGTGCGGCTTGAGCTGCTGGATGTGCAGCACGAAGCGGCGCAGCGTGGCGGCCTCGTCCCGCTCGTTGAAGACCTGCGGGTAAGGGTATCATATCTCCCCATATCTCCCCATATCTCCCCATATCTCGTCCCGCTCGTTGAAGACCTGCGGGTAGGGGTATCATATCTCCCCATATCTCCCCATATCTCCCCATATCTCGTCCCTCTCGTTGAAGACCTGCGGGTAGGGGTATCATATCTCCCCATATCTCCCCATATCTCCCCATATCTCGTCCCTCTCGTTGAAGACCTGCGGGTAAGGGTATTCTATCTCCCCATATCTCCCCATATCTCCCCATATCTCCCCATATCTCGTCCCTCTCGTTGAAGACGTGCGGGTAAGGGTACAGGTGACGACAGGAGCCCCACGGCATCCAAAGTGCAAGGCCCGGTGCGCGTGGGTGAGCGGTGTGTGTGTGTGTGTGTGTGTGTATGTGTGTGTGTGTGCGTGTGTGTGTGTGTGTGTGTGTGTGTGTGTGTGTGTGTGTGTGTGTGTGCCTGGAAGGGCCCCGGGAACTCGGGCTTGGGCGTGTACTCGAACGACTCGATGTCCTGTTCACAGACGCCGAGGTGTGAAGAGGCGCCGTCCACACCTGCGGCGTGCACCCAAGGGACGTCGGACTCCTCCGACACGGTCTCGCGGTTGATGATGAGGTAGCCCTGCCCGTCGACCATGTACGAGATCATCATCACCTGCGGTGTGAACGGCGTCTCTTCACACCTCGCCGTCTGTGAACAGACCATGTACGAGATCATCATCACCTGGGTTAGGGTTAGGGTTAGGGTTAGGGTTAGGGTTAGGGTTAGGGTTGGGGTTGGGGTTAGGGTTAGGGTTAGGGGTACGAGATCAACATCACCTGGGGTGCAGTCATCACGGAGATGTGGGGAGATGTGGGGAGATCTGGGGAGATCTCATGTACGAGATCATCATCACCGGGTCGATCGTCGCGTCCGGAAACTTTAGCGGCTGCTTGACGCACCTGGGACGTGTCAGGGACGTGTCAGGGACGCGTCAGGGACGCGCCGCCGCCATGTCCGGCTTGGGCGGCGGCGTGGCGCACTCGATGTCGTAGGCGAGCACGCGAGGCTCGCCGAAGGCCTGGTACGGTAAGGTAAGGTAAACTTCTCCACACACACGAGGTGGTGGGGCGAGGGCCAGGCTAGTCCCTCGCGACTGCACGTCTGGACGACAAGAGCCCCCAACGGCATTCAAGGTGCAAGGCCCGGTGCGCGTGGGTGAGCGGTGTGTGTGTGTGTGTGTGTGTGTGTGTGTGTGTGTGTGGAGGGGAAGGGTGGGTGTGGTGTGTGTGTGGTGGTGGTGGTGGGGGGGGGAGGCAGAGCGGAGGCGCCTTGCGCTCCTCGCATGGCGACAGCGTCGTGACGCCCGCCTCCTCGCGCACAGTGTACCAGAGGCCGACGCGCCGTCCCGTGTCGATGGCGACGCGGTGGTGGTACGGCACCTGTGGGAGGCCACCGAGAGAGGAGTCATGCACCACGGCCGCTCGATGCATCGGTCGCAAGCGCGGTGGCGGTGCGGCGGCACGTCGTACTCGCCATCTCTCCCTCATAGACCCCCCGTATCTCCCCCGTATCTCCCCCGTCTCTCCCCCATCTCTGGCGGTGCGCACGTCGTACTCGCGCACGTCGTCGACCTTCTCGAGCCAGTCCTCGCGCGCCTCGTCCGTGGCGAAGGCGAGCTTCGCGCGGCCGCGCTGCTTGTTGCGCTGCGCGACGGGGAGCAGCACCCTGCGCACGTCGACCAGGTGGCGCGTGCTTGCGAAGGAGAGCTTGAGGTACCTGGAGGGGGAGGGGGGGGGGGGCTTGTCTGCTTCGGCCAGATAGGGGTGGCGGGGAACGCCTTCTCCTAATAAAATGAAGGCTTGGGTCCCTGAGGCAACAAATTCAGCCTGGGCGTTCATTTGTGCTATAGCCTTACCTTATCGTCGCCATCTAGGTCCCCCCTTTT